TATATTCTCTTAGAATTTTATATATTTCAAAACTATTTACTTTATGAGTATATAATAATATTGATTTATATTTCAACTTTGTGCTTTTATTTTGAAGTTTTGAGTTCTGGTTCCACTAAGTGCTAACATGGAGTAAAAATAAATAAATAAAAAAAAGAGTTTACTTTTTGATTTACTTTATGACTCCTAAATACTTAAAAGATTATTCTAATTAATTCTTCATCAGTTTTATTTATTATTTATTTTATTTATTTCGTCTCAATCCGCAGTATATAAATAATTTTTACCAACATATGCAAAATATAAATTACCTAAAATTTTAAGCTAAAATTTTATTGAGCTTTTTTATAAATAAGTAATTTTACAAATAAATTTTTGTTTGAGTTTAACATATCCCATGCTTAAAAAAATAATTAGTTTATAAGTTAGAAACACAATGCAAATAACTCATCGAAAATTGTTTAGATTTTTCTTTATAAATTTATAGTAATAATAAATATATGATAAGTAAATTCAGAATCTATAATAAAGAGGGAAAAATTTGTGTGTGTCACGAAAACAGAAAGAGGTGCATCTTTGTGCGATCTAGAACAAAAATAAAACGGCTCAGAAGCATAAAGCATGGGACGGTAAGAATTTGATTGGTGATTGTTTGCACTTTTCCAGACTCTTTTTTTTCGAAATTTATTTCAGGTTTTTTTAAAATATAATTTTGGAACAATTCATGACAATGTTAATTTATTTTATGACACATATACTGACTCAAGATTACAAGGCAAAAATCCATTTGACTCGGAAGATTAAAATAATTTTTTCAGAAAAATGGCTTTTAAAAACTTCCAACAACTTGTCATTGTCTCATAAATAAAACTCGGGAAAAAAAAAACGTTATGATGTTTGGAATGGGGAGTCAACAAATAATTTATATTTTCAGTTTGTGTGATAAACAAAAAAAAAATTCCAAATACTAAAGCTATTTGTTGAAATAATTCAAAATCTTTACTGGTACTTACGTATCATTGAAACAATTTCAACGTTCAAGACCGATGTCGCATGTGCCGTATGCGCTGAATAGGCATACAGCATGCTTATATTTATATTTATTTTTATAAATATAAGCATGCATTTCGTGTTCAATTAGCATTATTAAAATGCTCCATCTATATTGCCTCGAAGAAACTATTTTCTTTATTTATGCAATGAAGTGCTTCTCAAAGTTTCAATATTTGCGACCCAATATTCAATCATAATTTTCATCGCCCCTCCCTCCATTCAACAGCAACACACACACATCAATGTATTCAATCCAATAATACTATACTTTCACGCTAAAGTTACAATACTACTTTAACCGCTTAAGAGTCTCTCCGGCATATATAAACATCTCACTCAACCAAAGCATTAATTGTCCCAGACGTATATATATATATATGTATTTCCGAAATACGATGTTTTCTGTGAACTGCTATCCATAAAATTATTCAAAAGGCTTTGGAATGCAATTAAAGCACCTTAACAGTTTTTGCGAAGGATTTACTTATTTTAGAGGATTTACTTATTTATTCCTTTTCTGCCTCCCCCCTTCAATATATCACATACGCGTACCTACGTGGAAAATGGTGGCATTGGGGAGCGAATCACGTAACTTTTAATTGCCAGTTAAGAGATTAATTATAAACCGTACAAATTATCAAGATAAGTGTTAAATACAATTTTATATATGACAAGCCCACAGGATCATTGGTAATTATTATAATGTTCTTAACTTAGTATTGTTGAAATCATCATAAAATACATTGTGCAGTACTGATGAATTTATAAGTGTATCATATCAATGTAAATGTGTATTTTTCTTTTTGTTATGTCAGTATGTATTTTGCTTGTTTACTTTCAGTAAATTAATATATATGCAGAGGGCCACAAAGGTGTTTATACACTTGCAATTTTCTATAAAATTTAATGTTTTCTACTAATAAAAATTAATATTTCGGAATTGTAATTTTTTATAATATCTGCAACTTGTTTTTAATGGAATGACATAATTATTTTTTTAAAAATAGTATAACTGTTATTTTTAAAAAATAATAATAAAAAAGCTACTAAAAATTACGCCAAAAAAGTCTTCGTACACTTTACAAAAATCTCAACACAGCTTTAAATATTGTATTTTTTTTCTTAATTTAGCTCTTAATAGGATATCTGTTTGTATCCACAACAAATTTTAAACGTCTTGGTATAGATAATTGATAATTTCTGCATCGATTTTCCTCCATGTTTCTGTGACTATTGTTTTTATTTCCCATTATGTGCTTGTATGTCATGTTTTCTTTGTTTAAAAAATCAGATTCTCGCCAAATATATCCTACAGTGGTAAATAAAGTGATTGAGGAGGTGTTTTCATAATTTGGGACAGTTATAGAGACACCAGTGGCGTACATTGAGAGCAGTGCGCTTGGCGTCATTATCCAGTTAAAACATTAAGTCGTCTCCAATATCCAAATTTTGGGCGGATAATTTAAAATATTTAAATAGAGCTCAGGCTCCATAATACCATAAAAAGATGCCAATTTATCTATTTCTGAAGCCGATTTACACCCCCATGCAAAAACAGACTAGACTCCCAACTAGATTCTTGGGATTAAGTTTCAGAAAATTCAAAATTGACAGCAAATCGATTGGAATGAAAGAAAATTCAACATTTTTGGTTTCGATGGGAGCATAATATTTTGTAAATGATAAAATGAGGAATTTTATCCCATGCATTAATATGGAACAAGAATGGGAAGTAAAAACAGTAGTCACAGGAGCATGGAGGAAAATCGATGCAGAAATTACAAAAGACTGATTAAATCTATACCAAGACGCTTAAAAGTTGTTGTGGACACCGAAGGATATCCTATTAAGAAAAAATACAATATTTAAAGCTATATTGTAATTTTTGTAGTGTACGAAGACTTTTGGGGCGTAATTTTTTAGTAGCTTTTTGATTATTAATTTTTAAAAATAATAATTATACTATTTTTAAAAAAATTAATTATGTCGTTCCATTAAGAAGTTGCAAATATCATAAAAAAATTACAATTCCGAAATATTAATTTTTATTAGTAGAAAACATTAAATTTTATAGAAAATTACAAGCGTACGAACACTTTTGTGGCCCACTGTATATATTTTTAAAGAATTTTTTGCTTTCGACTTTTTAATATGATCACGTCCCCCTGGTAAAGTTATCACTTCCCCTAGAGGAGTGCCCCCATAGTTTGGGAAACGCTGATGTTGTATATAATGAAGAATTTGAATTATCATACCAAAAAATTTATTTTTAATAAAGAAAATGTACAATTCCATTTAATTTTAAATCGCTCTGTACAAATATTCAGAATATATTCTGTAGAAAAATATGTATTAGAAAATGAATAATCTTCAATTGAACAAAAGCATATTTCGCATTCCAGTTCAGATTTACTCACATACTTCTACAAATATTACATGATGTCTCACGATTTAAAATCCTTGAAATTTAACAATAATGACATTTATACAATTCTTCCAGATACTAAGATTTTCAGCATTTAATTTTTGTATATAAAGAATGAATTGGATTTTAGAATTGAATACATGTGTAAATATTCTCTATGTTTGAAAATAAATATGAAAACGCCTCACATGCAAGATATTTTAACACGAAGTATTATTATAGATGGGGCTTTGAAATAGAGAAGTTTTGTATTCTTTGCCCTTGTTCACTTTACAAAAGGTTTTGAAAATATTGAACAATGAATGATTAATAATTCTGTCCTATGTGTCTTTAACATTAAATATATTAAATATTTTGGGTCTTCTGGGAAATTTGTCAATTGCAGTTCCCATTAATGTCATTAGTCAAAATGTTTGTATTTGTTGAATTAAATAGTGCTCAGAAGCTTAATTAAATATTAAATTGAATTAACTTATTTTAAATTATATAAATAGAAAATTAAGAAATAAAAAATGCATTAATCCCTGTGGGTAATGAACTTATAGGTCCGAGGTGTAGCGTAGTGGTTAGAGCATCGAATTCCAGACCGGAGGTCCCGGATTCGATGCCCGAAACCACCAAATACCCTCTGAGTACACAAGGAGTACGTGCTCATTAAATCAGTGGGTCAGAAAGTCTTGCTGGAGGTCGCAGCAGGAAGCTGGAGAATATTTCCTTCTCCTCCAGATCTGTTTAAACTGTCGAGGTTGTGATAGGTGGTGTCGCCATCTATCGCATAGAAGTCCAACCTGTCTCAGGCTCTGGCAACTTTCATTCCTTCCCTTGGGGAAGGAACGGCAACAACGACTATGAGCCTTATTTTTTAATGACTACCTTCAGTAATCATTGAAATTAATCTGTTAAGTTTTGTTCTAATACAGAACATTATAAATACAATAAATTAAAACACTAAAATTGCTTTTAAATCTGCAAAAAAATATATTTAAACATGTAATATAACAAATAGAAATTGTAATAAAGGGTAATGCAGATATAAATAAAAAAACGTGGGTTTATTCAAAAAATTAGTTTCTTTATCAAAACATAGCATTCTGATACGGACAACAAATAATGCTACAATGAAGCCGTAAATCAATCAAGTGAATAATATGTAAACTAAGATGTCTCTATCTGGGAACAATATGAAACTAGTTAATTTCAATAAGGAGTTAATTAAAATTTCTAATTAATAAAAATCAGATTCTTAAGTACATTTTAACCCATTATCAGGAAGAAAATTAAACTCAGCTGCTTAAAAATGCTGTAAATACGTAACATGTTTTGTTGAAAAATATATACTAGGTATCACATGAAGAATTTTAAATTTCCTTTTTAGTTTGAAAAAACAAGAAGTAAAACGAAAAAAAAAAAAAAGTCAATTCCTACTTAGGTCAACAAAGAAAAATATATATGTTGTTGGACTATTATTTTTGTTTGTTAATATTTGTTTATTTATTCATAAATCATATTCTCAAAAATTAGGGTATCCCAGTTAGGATTTGAACCCACAACCTTTGAACTAAAATTCCAAAGCGCTATCCGTTGCGCTATGGGATACGCGATTTGATTTATTATACATGCTAATGAACTATTATTTTGGTTTGTTAATATTTTTACTTTTTTAACTTAATTAATGAATTAATATTTAAAAAAAACTGTATTACCATCAAGTTTCATCCCCTACAAAGTTAAAAATATGTATTTTAACTTGAATGGACGAATAGAAAGTATTTTATAATCGACTGAAAACTTGAGAACAAGATATATATATATATAGATATAACCCCACTTTTATATAAATTATTTTAGATATAAGCTGTCCTAAGTGAGCAATGTTTATAATACTGTAGCATCTATTTGTTATATTCTTAACCCTATTATAATTTAAATTTCTCATATATCCTTATATGTCTGGTTTCTTACAATCTCAACCTTTTTGGGGTTGTTTGATTAATGTTCATTTCTCATTAGTAGAGAATTTACACATGCATATATATATATATATATGTGTGTGTTTGTGTGTGTATGTATATATATATATATATATATATATATATATATATGGTGTGGTGGTTATATGTGTGTGTGTGTCGCAGGAAAATGATGAAATTAGGGCTTTCATCAAATCCCTAAGTAAGGGAGATGATCAATTCAAACAAGATGTTAAAATAACGTCTCTTTGAGGCCATTTCCCTGATGTAAGTGATTTGATCAAATCCCCGGACTGTTTTAAGGTATGATGAAATGAACAAGGTAACATTTGTAGAGCTCTCTGTTTTCAGTTGTTACCACTCCCTTTTGCTTTCCCCGTCTCCTCGTCCGTTCCAGGTAGCGCTGGGCTTTTGACGTGACGCACCAAAACAAAATGACCCAAATATCATTTGTTTAGTTTTATTTTGTTATATTCTTTGCATTATTATCTTTCGATTGATACATCACTTTTGTATGCCTGAAAATTAAAAACTGGATAAAACTTCAATTGAAAAATGTAAACAAACAAACAATGGAATTCGACTACGATCTCTTTATTGATAAAAAAAGCTTTTTGATAGTAAGAAAAAGCTATTTTCAAAAGGAAATAATAACTAAAAAAAGGTGTTACAAAGAAAGCAGGATGTTTCTGAAATACTACATTATTGCATACTTTTTTAAAAATTGTGTTTGAAATTCTACTACAAATACCCTTTTAAAGAAATACCAGCTTTATTATCAAATTACTTCGTTAATTAATTTCGAATAAATAATTTGTAATTCAATAATTATTGTTATATTAATTACTCTTCTTTTAAAAATGCACCATATTTGCTAAATGAAAACTTTTAAACTTTTGCAATATTATTTAATCATTTCACTGAAACAGGTTAGGTATATTTGATCAAATCACTTATCTTCTTTAGGGAAATAAGTGATATATATATATCACTCCCTATATATATATATATATATATATATATATAATATATATATATAATATATAAATTATATATAATATATATAATATATATAAATTATTAATTATATATATATATATATATTAAATATATAGAAGAGATATATAGGAAATTGAATGAAAAATTGTACAGACACAAATGAGTATGAAATCTGTTTTGGCTTAGTGCGCAAGTGTCTTCATATATTTTCATCAATTTAAGTATATACAGCAATATTATACATTAAATATGTATGAATATTGCGTCCTATCATTGAAAATTATTTTATGATCTATTTTCTTGCAATTTCTTTGTTCTTCTTAGTTTAATATTTTTACAAGGTATTATAAACATAAATAAGTTTATTAAGCATCGAAATAACAGATAGAAAAGTTCCGTGAATGAGAAAGTTTTACCTGTACAGATTAGTGCATAAGAAATGAAAGCAAATAAACAAAGCAATGAGCCACTATAAAAGTTATTTTATGAGCAGCTGTGACATCCCAAAAAATGAGTTGTTTTCAAATGACTTTTATGAATCTGTCTCATGCTTAATAGATTAAATGCCAAATACTTTCTTAAACACTATACGATTTAATTATTTGGATACACACACACACACACAAAGGATAATTTTATTTTAAAATTGCATAAATTAACCAATAATAACTGAAAGGCCCTAATTATTTATGACACATAATTCTGGCAACACAGTAAGTGCAATTTATCTGAAAATTAATAATTATTATATTTTTTTGAAATATATATCATTTGTTTAAATTTTACAAAACATATTTTTCAAAAAAAAAAAAAAATGTAGTTCTTGTAAAAATCATTTTATAAATTTGAAATGGGTTCTGTATAATATTAATATTTTTATTATTATCATTTCTTTTCATAAAGTTATTATATAAGTTTAAATTTCAAATTAATAACGATCATTCTAAGAAATAAATTTAATTGTATAACAACTGTAAAAATAAATTTTTGCTTTATCAAATTATTGTATATTCTAATTAGTTAGTTTTAAATATTTTTAAAGCATTCACACACACCACACAGTATATATATAGGTACTCGTATCAATAAATACTAAATATAAATATATATAATAAAATATGATAACTACATAAACTCTCTCTCTGTTCCACATTCTCTTTAATAATCCATAAAACACGTTTTATTAATAGTGTTTTTCATCCCGACACTCTAATACAAAGAATAGAATTTACTACCTTAAATAGATTTTCTTTCATATCAGATGAACTTTATCATTGTAATAATTGAAAAATATAAAAATAAAACCTTCTAATAACAACATAAAACACTGAATTATTCAATTATACTGAAAGAATAGTTCTATTATTTTTCTCATCTTTACTAAAAAAAAAAAATCTGAAAATCTAAGTTGAGAATGACATTCAATACACATGGTGCTCGGGCTCTTTCGAAGAGAAAGAAAATGAGATGAAAAAAGTGAAGGAAGGAAGGAGGGGGAAAAAAATTCTAATTTGCTTGAAGGCTGGTAAATTCTTAATTTTCTTTTCTTCCACTTTCTTGAGTTTCTCTCCCTTCTTCAATACCTTTTGTTCAACCTCCTTTTTTTAGCAAAATCTACATCTTTCTGATTGAGAAAAGCAGCAAATTAGGCTTAAAGACGCGTAAGAAAAGAGTTCCCCGGAAATCAGACAGCAAACGGAATAAATGTCGTTATCTTGTATCAGAAGTCTAACACAGATTTCGGAAATCGTTTTATTTTCAATTTTTTTCCCGCCACAGACTAAATGACTACTGGATTCCATTAAAAGTTTGAAAAAACTTCCTTAAATGAACAAATGAATTTTTTACCCCTTTTGATCAATGTAAGTGGAAATTCTCTCCTTACATTTGAATGGTGTGTTTAGTAATTGTTGGCAATTAAAACAGGCAGAAGCATTTTCTTATTTCTTTCTTCCACTCAATATAAATTAGGTAGAGTTTAAATTTTAAGTCCTGAAAAGAGAGAACAACTCATTTTGTTTCATTTATATTAGCCTTAAATCAATAAGTCAAGACAAACCGTGGAATTGTAAGTAAATCAACTTCTGTTTTAAATATAGTTCCTGCTGTGAATCTACTCTGTGATTTGAACAAAAGCAAATCCTGTTAAAACATTATTAACTAAGAAATTCAAATTAAATAGAAAATAGACTCATCAAATGCTATTCTAATTTTATATATTTATATGAACAATAATTCAGTTTTATTTTAACTTCAATTTGTTAAACAGATTTTAGTAGCATGAAACCCAGTTTTTTCAATAAATTTAGAATTCAAAAAATAATATAAAGCTTATTTCTATACCTTTCATTTTGAAAATATTAGATATATTACAAAAAAAATTACATGTAATTATTATTAAAGGCTTTAAAGAAAGTTTGGGATACACAATTTTCAAATAATTGTCAAATACAAGTACTTTTATTTTTAATAAATCTATAGATACAAGATAGTTCTTATCACACTTCAAAATATTCTAAGTTTTGTAAAAACATTAAGAGTTTTCGTATTTAAGCTCTTGTACTAAGCATAAATCAGATAAGCATACATTACTTTATTTAAAAGGCATTTATAAGGAACTTTGAAGTGAATAAAAATTAATGCAAATATAATTAGAAGAAATAGGAGCATTGCATAAGAGAAAATAAGAACAAAAAATATATTTGGAAGTGAAAAAAAACTTCAATTAGTGCACTTTAACTATCACAAACAAAATTACTTTAAAAATTAATATGCACTTATCACTAATTTATTCTAATGAATAAACCAGGTTGTTAAAGCATTTAAAGAGCATATATTCTCAAATATGTAAATATTTTTTAAAAAAAAAAACTATGGTATTGTTTATTTGTTTTTTAATGTGAAAAGAATTTTCAAATCTGCATGTTAATAAAAATATGAATCTCCTTTTCAAACATTCAATAAAATAAAAATAAAATTCCGCATTTACGTGAATTTTAATTACTTTCCTTAATCATTTGTAGTGGAAAACATATTTTCAGGATGACAAGAGCGATCAATTTAATTTCTTTTTAAATATTATTAAATAACATGCTAATTATTAGATAACAGCAATAGATAATTTGATACATTCTTTTCTAAATAAATACTTCTTTCACGTTTTCTTAGTCTGTTAACGATTATTTAGGCAAGAATTTTGCTGATCATAAGTGGGTGTTCAATGAAATAGTTAACCTATTCTCCGTGATATTACTATGTATAAATTTCTTTATTGGAGCTTCATTAACTAGTGATGATGTTATGGTACCTTGGGAATATACCGCATAATACATTCCTCACAATCATTTTCTATGGAAGCTCAGAGAGAAAATACGATGTATCTTTGTATAAATAATTCTTGAAAGTTTAATGTGGAAAGTTTAATTTTTTTTCTTTTGAGAATGAATGAATAATGATACTAGTATATGTAAAATATTTTCTTAAGAAAATTGAGGTAAATCCGTTAAAACAAAATAATTATCGTATTAATAACTTCAAAAACAAGAATGCTAAATTTCTAATAGGTATTGAATCATTCAAGAAAAATAAACGAAATCGACTCTTTCTATGCCCGGAGAAAAATTTAGT